GGACAAGGTCGAATAAAACTCACTTTTCAGCTTCAGAAATATTATGCTTTTCTGTACTGAAATTAAATTACAGACAACTGACGAGAACATGTTTACCATAACTATTAGTCAATTTGTAGAACGAATTCCTTACATGTCCTTTGAAAATGTCAATCGATAGTGTCTGTAGAGTATAGATTTTGATTAACACGTCGAATCCGAGGTATGGTTAAAGAAACTGTCGAAATATTATCATCAGTCATCTCTCGCTAAATTTCAGTACAAAATAGAAACTCTAATTTTTCAAAGAGAAAAAGTATCACATCCGCCCTTATCCTTTTCTAAAGTAATGAAGATTATTTTACTATTTATACGCATAATTAGATGTGAATTGAATCGTAATCACTTATTTAAAGCATATATTTTTCTTTAATACTAAAATAAGAGTTGATTACATTGTTTGAAGAATCTTATTCATAACGATTTTGTTTTCCCAGAATCTTTCAAATGTGATGAACAAATTTTTGACTGATTCATTTTCTCTAGGCTGTTGTTGCGTATCCCGCAGAACCATTTTCAAGTGAAAATAAACAATTACAATGGTTAAATGAATCACGTCTTATTTATTTTATTGATAAAAATGCATCATTCATTCGGGATACTCCACGCTGTGGTTTTAATAATATAAAATGTCCCAAAAAAAGTTCGTTAAAGATAAAGTCTCAATTATCCTATATATTTATCTTTGTCTTTCATGTTAGCTCTCATCCCAATATGGGGTTGGATTATCATAAGCCTTTCATCAATTATTGTTCTTCTGCTTATTGTTGGTTTTGTTTTATACCGGTAAAACAAAAACGTTGTTTTTTCGTTCTTTTTTTTTCTCATATGAATCACAATTTAAGCCGAGCAAAATTTGAAGCTGAACTGAAAGCAATGCAATGGTTAATTAAATGGGAAGACTTAACAACACGAACACTTTTACATAATGGTGTTGCTACACCATCATTTAATAAATTATCTAGTTCATTAAAGGTAATCGATATTTGAAAACAAAAAAAAGTCAGAAAAATTATATTCTTGATCATATTATTTTTCAATAATTATCAGGATTTATCCGTACAGAAGTCAGTGAGTATGTGAGCAATTTCCATGAACTTTTGCATTCGAAAAGTTCTCTCTATCTCTCTTCTTTTATTCTTATTGTCCAATCTGCACGACTTGTATCATTGTCTTATTCTCTCATTGAAGTGATTGTAAAGAGAGACTTACATATCTCTATCAAAAATCATTTCTTTGTTGTACTAACCATAAACACGCATTATAACATACGCATATACGTTACAGGGGAGATTGAAATGCAGGGCTATTTAAAATAGGCCTTAGGGGAAATTGAAATTTTAATCTCCCCTAGGACAAATTTTAATTTTGTTTTCTCCGGGTTCAATTTATGAGAAAAAGTAAAGATTTTGATTTCAAAACGTACAACATTCATATCGACACTAATACTAACACCCATACACGCATCTACACCCACACCTACATGTACACGCTACATCCATACCCACAAATAAGATAAGTGTCTTCTGCGCGAATTCAGATATTTGGAAAAGACTAATGTGATGGAACTTGATAATTAGATGCCAGTGTTAATGTGGGTGCGAATGTAGTACTTTTTGAAGTCAAAATCTTTACTTTTTTTCATAAATTGAACCCGAAAAAAACAAAATTATTATTTGCCCTAGGGAAGATTAAAATTTCAATTTCCCCTAAGGCCTATTTTAAATAGCCCTGCATTTCAATCTCCCCTGTAACATATACATTTAACTTGTCACTATTTTTCTATATAATGCTATACAATGCGTGCTCAAATGTTTTCTTTCTATTTTTCTGTATGCTGTTTGTGCTTGGTTGTTTCATTTTCTTTTGTTCAATTTTATCTGAAAAATAGCTTTGATTTGGTTTTTTGCTTTTTGTTTTTTTTAGCGCAGTTCTGTTTCAAGCTATCGTTCAACTGATAGCGAATCAGGTGGACAATCGAAACAAACATTTACAAAAACAGCTGTTTATAAAGTAAAGAAGGAAAATTCTTCGAAAATAAATAAGCAACTATCTTTTTTTTAAATTTAAATTATAGTCATCGATTGTTGCTCTTAAACGATTTCATAAAGGAAAACTTGAAACAACACGTGCACTTCAATTAGAAGTTAAAGCAGTTGAGTAGAAATAGAAAATCAATATGTCATGATTTGACCAATAAATAATATCTTAGATGCAAGATCTTACACATGATCATATAGCTCGTTTTATTGGGATTTGTACTGATCCCAAACATCAATATATTGTAACAGAATATTGTCCAAAAGGCAGTTTACAGGTTTAATATTTAGTTCTGTTGAAATAATCTTTTTTTAATGTTCATTTGCTTTTTTTTTCATTAGGATATTCTAGAAAACGACGAAATTAAACTTGATACAATGTTTAAACATTCCATCATGCATGATATTGTTAAAGTATTTTATTTTATTATTTAGGTTTTTTAAAATTGACTCAAAATAAATCAACTATTTACATTCAGGGTATGCAACATGTACATAATAGCCAAATTGGATCACATGGAAATTTAAAAAGTTCAAATTGTGTTGTTGATAGTCGATTTATTTGTAAAATAACTGATTTTGGCTTGCCAACATTAAGATCTAACAACAATAAAGATTCATCACCAGGTGTTGATAGAGATTATACGTATTATAGAAGTATGAGCATTGTTAAATATTAACTTTTATTGGTAAATTATATTTTATTTTATTATTTTTTAGATCGATTATGGACAGCACCTGAATTATTACGAGATGGGAATGTACCAGCTGCAGGTACAATGAAAGGTGATGTGTATAGTTTTGGCATAATTTTACAAGAAATTGAAATACGTAATGGACCCTTTTATTTGCGAGATCAAGAATTAGAACCATCTGGTAGAGTCTTAATTTTGTTGTTCTCAAAAACCTTTTTATTTTTCTTTGTAATAGCAATTGTTGAAAATGTTAAATCAGGCAGTTTGCTTCGTCCATCAATTGAAGCAGGCGAATGTAATAGTGAAATAGTAAATTTAATGAAACGTTGTTGGAGTGAGGATCCAAATGAAAGACCTGATTTTACGGACATTCGACAAGTTATGCGTCGAATAAATAAGTACTTGAGAAAATTTCGATATTGAACAAGATATGAAATTTTCTTTTTCTTTTTTTATCAGAGATGGAGAGAGTGGAAATATTCTTGATAATTTATTGAAACGTATGGAACAATATGCAAATAATCTTGAGGTTTGCTCAGGATTAAGCTTTTATTAGAAAATTTCGAAGTCTTTTTCTTTTCAAGGGTCTCGTTGAAGAACGTACAAGTGATTATTTAGCTGAGAAAAAGAAAGCCGAAGAATTACTTTATCAATTGTTACCTGCGTATGTATTTGAAGATATTATTAAAAAAAAGAACTTTTTTCCCATTGGTTCTGCCACTGGATCTTTTATTGAATTAACCAGAACTTTTTCTATGTCATATTCAATCAAAGATAAACGATAGAATACAACATACACATTGAGACGTGGCCCTATTTTAAAATTTCATCTATACTAATATCACATCAATTCATATATATATTCTAAAATTCTACAATACCATGTATACAAATATCAAATCACTTCATACATATTTAGTCGAGAATTCTAAAATTCTAGAATTTTAGAATAGGGCCACTGCTGAGTTTATGTTTAAAATAATATATTTCATTGATGCAAACATCATGCTATTACGTATGATAATAATTGACAGAAAAAAAAATAAGATTTACAAATAAACACATTACCAGATTTACTAATAAGATTTTCAGTTTTCTTCCTAAACATTAATTCTAATGAAATAAACTAATTCATGAATATTTTTTTTCTTTTGATTATTTGAAGCAAAATGTTTTTGTGTATTTTAATAGAACGGTTGCTGCTCAATTAATGACTGGCCAACCAGTTACAGCTGAATCGTTTGAATGTGTTACTATTTATTTTTCTGATATTGTTGGTTTTACTAAATTATCATCAGAAAGTACGCCATTTCAAGTTGTTGATCTACTAAATGATCTCTACTCAGTTTTTGATGCTGTTACTGAAAATTATGATGTTTATAAAGTTGAAACTATTGGTGATGCTTATGTAAGATTCTTTTTATTTTTTCTACCGAAAAAAAAATAAGATTGAATCTATTTCTTTCCCTAATTAGATGGTCGTTTCTGGTCTACCGACACGTAATGGAGATTTGCATGCTCGAGAAATCGCTCGTCTTTCATTGGCTCTTCTCAATGGTGTAATCAATTTTCGTATTCGACATCGACCTGATACACAACTATTATTGCGTATTGGTATTCATTCAGGTCCCTGTGTTGCTGGTGTTGTTGGTCTTAAAATGCCACGATATTGTCTATTTGGCGATACTGTAAGTTTTAGTTGTTTATTTTTTTTTCTTGAAGCAATAAATCAAACATTGAATTATTTTCAATTTAAAGGTAAATACAGCATCTCGAATGGAATCCAATGGTAAAGCGTTACGTATTCATATATCATCGAGTACAAAAGAAATTCTACAAAAATTGGGTAATTTTGAACTAAAATGTCGTGGTGATATTGAAATGAAGGTTTGCATTTTCTTTTTGTACTCTTTTTTTTATCTTCCAATTCATTTATTAGGGGAAAGGAAAACAAAGAACCTATTGGTTACTAGGCGAAAAAGATGGTTTAAGTGCTCAACATAGTTTGGTGAATTGGAAGGATGAGACTGTTGACGAGCATTAATCAATATATTTTGTTTGTTTTTTTTAATGCATAGTTTGTGTTTTTACTTTTCTTTATGCGAGTTATTGAAATTAATGATAAAAAGACAAAAATTATGCATGATCATGTTTCCTTTTTTTCGATCTGACATTTATTTTTTTCAAATAGAGATCCATATAAATATAAATATACATAAAACATAATTCAGTATGGTGTCCAATAGTAGAGATTTTGTGCGAGTACTGAATCTTTGACCGATTCAAAAACAATTCGAATATTTTTGCTATCTAAATTAGATCACAATGAATAGATCGATAAGTAATAAAAGAAAAAGAAAGAATCGCATGCCTACCGACAGAGCATGTAAAATGAGGATAGATATTCTTTTCTGTATATCTTTCTTTAACAGGTACTAAACTTAGATATTTATTTTTGATAAATTGTTTTGCCGCTTCAACATCGTCGTCAGCACCTATAAATAGCATTGATGAGAAAAAAAACGATCAGGCATTGAAACAGATTACAATCATTTATTTCTATTTGATATTATAAACTTACCATCAAATTCAGTATAGATGCATCGAAGAGGTTTGTCAGCAAGTCGTTCTGGAAATAGATCAGTTTTGTTTAGAAAAAGGATAATAGATGCATTATAAAAATATTCGGATGTTAAAATAACATGAAACAATGCCAAACTTTCTTCCATTAAGTTCTAAAACATAAAGTTTTACAACAGTTTTGACATAGATATTTTTGATTTAACTTTAGAGACCTGTTCAATAGAGTCTTCAACTCGTTGATCATATTCAATAAGAGATGCCAGAAAAATGACAGACGTTACATTCTATACAGACAGCGAAATACAATATTAACTTAAACTATCTTACAAAATTTATACATCAAAACAATGAATCCATTTTCGACGTTCTGTTCTTTGTCCACCAACATCAACAATTCTATTATAGAAATTTAATAAATAGTAGATCTGTTCATAAAGTATTAGGAAATATATCCTACCGAAGTTGAAGATGAGAAAAAATAAAATCTTCTTGAACGATACCCGTTGTTGGAATACGCACTCTTAATATATCATCATCAGTTGGTGTAAAATTTTGTGCGGAAATTCGATCTAAATCATCCAGGAAGCTGGAAGAAAAAAGAGTGATCAACAATGTTATTCTTATTCCTATTCCAAATCATCTAACATGCAAAATATGGAATAATTCCATTATTTAAAAAGAAAAGAGATTAATTCTACAAGATTCATTTTCAAAACTATTTTAGAGCATTAAAAAAAGGAAATAGTTATTTCGCAAATTATTAATAATTTATTCACGAAGACTCACTATTTTGCCGAGTCAGGTAGTCGATATTCTCGTCGTCGATGGTAACATATTTTCACACCTTCATCAGACCAAACATATCGAATAGCTTCAATCATTCGGGATGATAATGTTGTTATACTATCATCCTCATCATCATTATTTGGCGAACTTAATACACGAGCATATTCCTACATAGAAATATTTTTTCGATTTTCATTCAACTGAATTATATTCATTATTTCATACTTCATTTCGTTCGTTTTCAAATTTTATTTGAAGCATATTCATCGCTCGACAAATACATCGAACAACACTAAGTATTTGTCGATAGATGAATGGAATAAGTCGATGTTTCTCATCGGCTTTGAAACCTCGGCCATGAATTAATTTCATTTGTTTAAGGAATGTCGATCTAACAAGAGAAAATGTATAACAGCTACAGAATTATACATTCATTTACTTTCCAGCTTCCGCATTTCCTAAAGTGTCATATCATTTATTAAAAAAGAAATCTTATTATATACATGATGCTAACTCTTACCTAAGAGAAGTAATTTTCTTTCGTGTAAATTCTGTCGGCGAAATACTTTCAGTTGCTGATTAATATCTTTATTAATTTTTTCTGCAGGTGACAGACAGCAATCACATGCATAGTCCTTGCAGCAGGACGCAAGAAATGGATTAAACATAATTTCTATTATAATAATCTAAATTATTAATTTGAAAACTAAAAACTAAAAACGAATTAACAATATCTACTCAATATATGTATATACATGGAGGTATATTGTGACAATAATAGTGTATCAATAACATACTTATCGATAGCTATGTCGTGGAGATGTGAATTTTGTTTTATTGCTTTCGTGCTTTGTATGAAAAAGTGAGGTCGCAAGAGTTATTATCGATCACCACTGAGACAACATTACAAGAGAAAAAACATGATTTCGTTTGCTGTTCTGCGTAAGAACGAAAAACGAGAAAAGACACATGATCGTATCGAATTGCTGTGAGATTGTGATTAAAATCTTTCATCGTCTCCAAACCAATCGTATTAAAGGAAGTAATATGTGAGTAAAAATTGACAGACAAACTAATAAATTTTCTTATTACCTACATAGAAGTAATTAGCATAATATTACTGAAATTATAAGATGAGTAACAATTTGTTTTAGGGCTGCATGAAAAACTTGAAAAATTATATACGATTAAATCAGTTATCGTAAGTCTATGCCCTATGAAATTAAGAAAGTTCTAAAAAAGTATCTATATGTAATTTTATTAATTTTCACTTGATCAAAATCTAATTAACAACCAAATTTTCAATATTTTTGAAAACTACTTTATCATGATTGAGTAATAATATATATATATATTTGAAAATGGTGATATGTTTTGTGATAGGCCATTCTTGTTAAATCCTAGTGAAAGCAAGCGCTTAACAACAAAAGTATTGTTTTTCGATTCGGACTAATTGTTAGCATAATTTCAAGTTTTGATTTATACCTTGATAATTCATTTGAACTACATAGATTTCATGTGATATGATTGATACATATACGATATTAAAGTGGTTTCGAGTAAAAACATGAATATGCACAGAATTTCATATTTTCTATTGACGCATTAACTAGTGCTTTATTATGAATTGAAGTATGTATTATCGTAATAGCTTTTTTCGTTTAATTTTATTAAAAAATAAGATCAATAAAATTATTATTCGTACATATTCACGATGAGTTTTCTTCGCAAAAAAAACATGATACTCTTTTCATCTTACTCGCGTTCAAAATTTCATAGCAGAAAATGAACTTTGACTTTATTGCATTGACTAATGGACTAAAACAATAAACAAGGATTTCTATGCTGAAAATGTGTCGTACTTGAATAAATAGGGGAAAAGATCTTTTTTAAACACTGATTTATGATTTAATTCTGTATTTCAGGAATATATCGAATAACGTTAATCCTATTTAAATCGTGAGATTACTGATGAATATCTTTTTTTCTATTTTCTTCCCTTTTACACTTTATATTCTGATTTTTGATTGATTTATTCAATGACATAGTAACATCTCGATTGTCTCGGTTTCAATCAGATACCGAATGTTTTTCTTTTTTATCTATAGAACGTGCATTGCCATTATATGATTGAACATTTCTCTACTATGTCTTTGAAAGCTTTTGCTTGATTTATTTCGAAAACGATTGGAATATTTTTATTATTTACAGTTTAACGTATCATTGTATTATGTTTAGAGGCAAGAAATTAACTCATGAAAGTCTTATCGACAGAACATGTAAACCCAGTTAGGAATTCTTCTTTTTAATGTTCTCGATCTGGTTTGAAATTGAGATATTTGTTTTTGATGAAGTATTTTGCAGCTTCAACATCATCATCTACGTACATCTGCAAATCATAGATATGAAATAATTTGATCAGTAATTATTGCTTTGTTTGACTAGATCGAATAACTATTGGATTCAAGAAAGATGAATATCGAAGAGGTTCACTTGCTAGTCATTCCGGAAATAGAAGAATTTTTATTAAGAAATACAATGATAAATGCATTGCGAAAATAATATCTAGCTTTTCGTTCTACAAGTTGTACCACACAAAGTTCTATCATGATTTCGATATATTTCACTTTTATTAACTATATCTACTTTGACGTATCATCTAAGTTATCTTGATTATATTCAATAAGAAATGCTCTAAAAACGGTTCAGCTGTCACGTTACATGTACACAACGAATCTAGGTTCGATGTTCAGCATTTTGTTTGAAAACATTGACAATTCTATAAAGAGCATTATGGATAATCACGAAATGAACTATATTGCAAGATTAAATCACTCTTGCTGTACATGACAACGAGCATACTGAAAATCTTTTTGAATGATACCTATCTCTGGAATGTATACTCTTTATATCTCATCATCAGTTCGTAAATAAGGATATTCAGAAATTCAGTCGATGTTATTAAAACCTCACGTCAAAAAACAATCTCATTGCGCCCATAATTTTCACCAATATCTGATATACGTCCATGAAAAGTATCAAAAAATGAGATCTTTTTAAAATTTGCTGCGTGATAATATTGTTTTAGAAAAATTACTTGCAGCTTCATCAAAATGTATAACATTGTCAACAGAGGAGAAAAAGCAGAAAGTGTATAACTCTATTCATTACCATTATAAAATAATTAATTAGTACTACATAATACTGCCTATTTAGCTAAATCTTTCAATTGATATTCGCGTCGTCTACGATAGCATAGTTGAACATCTTCATCATATCAAATATGTCTGATAGCTTCAATTATTTTTCGTGATACCGTTGATATATTACCATCGTCACTATTGGTTGTGATCAACACACAAGTATAGTGCTGCATAAAAGACTATGTTCTAATTTTCATTAATTTACATAATTATATATATATATATAGCATAATTAAATTTCAAACTGTTCAAATAGAATACAATGATTTTGCATAGCTTGACAAATACAGCGAACAAAATCATCCACTATATGTTGATTTGTAATTTAAATAAGTAGACGTCTCTCTCTCTCTCATCGATACTAAAACTTCAAAGATGCAACAGTTTCATTATTTGGAGAAATCTTGATTTATATTTACAATGGCACTAGTTAAGAATATATTAAGTTTCTAGTTGCAATATTTTCTAGGGAATTTTCTTTTATTTACATTCTGCCTGCTTATCCGACTTAATTCTTACCTAATGTTTATTGATAGTTAAATAAATATAATACATGTACGACTCATTAAGGTTCATTTATGGTGGCACTCAAATATTTAAATATGATCATAAAAAACTGTATTTGTTTTGTTTTTGATTGCTTGCCAATTTTTATTCACCCACAATATCAGATTAGTTTTCTTGTATTGCATATAACTAAGGAAAATAAGACCAAAATATTAGAACAAACTTACGGAAGACAAGTATTTGGCAAAAAACACCATGCTTTCGACTAATCTGTATGGATGTAAATACGAAGTAGTAAGCGGGTGTCGAATATTGGCATGAATGATTTCATTTTATTTTTGTTACTAGAATTGAAAAGATCGTATTTCAAATTTAATACATGACAATACAAAGGATTAGACAATGAATGCATCAACATTGACTTTGGATTCTGTCGTCATTTCCTATTTTAGCTTTTTTTTCTAAAAAGGTTGAGAATCGAATTTGAAAAGTCAATTGAAAAGTATTAATTCGTATCGATGCAGACTCTTCCTTTCTCGCAGTTTCATTAGTAATCTTTAATTTGAAGTTTGTCCATGCGAATCATACAAGTAAAAGCTCTCTATTATGAACACATCATCAAGACCAAAAACAAATAGTATTAAGCCCGCTATGAAAAGAAAAAAAGACGCCGAAAATTTGTCTAAAAAAATGATCTTGAAATTATTAGCATCCTTCGTATATTCACGATGAAATCGATCAATCAAGATCTATAATAGTTATATAACGATCAAGTTATATTTCTCACTAGGAATAATTTTACAGCATTTACGTTTTAAGGCAAAATATTTTTGAAGATTGCTTATATCGTACACAATTATTCAAATAATACTTGATACATTATTTCCATAAATACAAGAGAAAATTGCAACCCATGTTAAACAAAATCGTAAAAAATCTGATGATAATTGATTTTTTGCGATTAGAAATCTATTTTAATGGCACTATTATAATCTGATTTTAACCAGGTTTTTCAATCTTAAACGGCAGATTATTTTTGGTTTTGATTTTATTTTAGTCGATTTTAATTGATTACGTACAAACTATTATAATCGATTAAAATAAGATCAAAATCAAAAATAATCTGCCGTCTAAGGCTAAAAAATCTGATTAAAATCAGATTAAAATAGTGCCATTATAATAGATTATTAATCTGATTATTAATCCAATTTTTTTTTACATAGGAAATGATGAACGTAGGATGAAACTTTTCTTTTTCAAACACGCTAACTTGAAACATAAATTTACACCTCCTCCCCCAAGCTCAAACGATCGAGCCACCTCTGTGTATCACTAAAACAATAGTGCTGCAATGGTGTTGCGTTGCCCTTCAAAATCTGACCATTCTATAATGTAGTGCATGTAAAACTAGACTAAACATTTAGTTTTGTCTTTCATATATCATTTCTTAAAACTTGTTGGAATGACTTGGTTTTTGCTTTGTACAAGTAATTAGATAATATTAGGTGAAAAGAGTTTTTTTCAAGTTACGTAGAATTGTTAGTATTCTTGTACAAGAGTACCGAGAAGTTATCGGATGATCGTTATACCAACTGTATTAGTATAGAGTGATGATGTAAATTAAGTAGATGACTAGATGAGCTACTTATGATCTGGCTTATGTATGATTAAATCATATAGATAGAGAACAAGTTGGGTGTTTACATGAATATTTAGTACAATTACTCCGTCCCATAAGCATTTTTCTGTGCTTATTATGTAGGTTTGAATAATTTTGAATATTTTCCTATGCCACACTTCTAGAAATAACAGTCGTTTACTCAGTTTTTCAAAAATATAGTGTACTTATATGTATAAACTCGCATGAAACTTTTTTTTATCGGTTAAATGGTTTTTTAGAATAAAAATCTCTTGAAAATCTAAGAAAAGCATTTCTATTTAGTGAATAATCGTCAAAG